AGGAACAAGCCACTGCCACATCTTACCTCTAGGACTCCTTAGTCTGAAAGGACTTCCTCAGCCAAAAGGCTTCAACTGAAAAGGGACTCTCAGACAAAAAGCATTAGTTCCTGTCTCCTCACGCCTTTTGTGTCCTCTGGTCCTGGGCGGCTAAAAAGAATTTATGCCTGGTCTGGCAGTGGTGACGCACGCCTTTAATCCCAGCCTGGCCTACAGAGCGAGGCCAGCCTGGCCTACAGAGCGAGATCCAGGACAGGCACCAAAACTACACAGAGAAACCCTGTCTCGAAAAAAAAACAAAAAAACAAAATTTTTATGCCTCTATGTCTGCAGCTGAAGGCTCTGATGGAGAGACAAGAGAAACACAAAGTACATACCCTTCAGATGCTGGCCTTGGGGCTACCGAGAGGCGGGAGAGGTATGAATTTTCCCTGTTCAATCTACAGACCCTGGACTCCCTCATCCTGGGCCTCAGTAGTCTTGAGTGAAGGCCTTTGATCCTTTATGGAATTTGGGTTTAATTCATCTGTCTGCACAGAGCCTGAAATTTGCAGTCTCTGGACCATTTAGCCCATGTCTTCATAGGTCCTCTAGCTTTCAGGGACCAGGTTTCAGGCACTCTTTGCTACAGTGAGAAAGCTATCAGAAATAAAACCGAGCTGGGAGCCACGAACTGATGGGGATATTAGTAAGTACTCAGGAGCGTGGATGTCGGATGGTCCCACATCATTTGGAGCCACAATTGATGACTTGGAAATGCCAGGACTGTTTTCTTATATAATATACTTTTTTTTTTTTTTAATAAACAGTTCCTGCCAGGGCACACACACTGTTTTAACTTGGAGAGTTGGAAAGGAGTCGGGTTTTGTGCTAGTGATTCATCTCCTGAAGAGCCCTGGCTGGACCAACCTGGTGGCAGCTGAGCAGCACCTGCCCTGGGTGTGCCCAAGAGGAGCCAGGCAAGGCCCTAGCCCCAAGGACTTCATGGCACTTGGGCAGAAGCTTGGCCCTCTCTCATGTGCTCCTATATTCTTGAATCTTAGCTTCTGTAGATTGACGATTTGCATAGATCTTTGACAACCATCTACTTGGTAGCGCCCATGAGGTTGTTCACAACTGAGTGAAGATGACTCAGGATATCTGTTTGAACAGCAGTGGTTCTCTCTGTGGTGTTCAAAAGGGCAGGAAGGTGGAGTTTTCTGTTTCTCACTATGACTATGTTCTTTTGTTTGTTTGGTTTTTGTTTTTGTTTTTCAAGACAAAGTTTACAAGTTTCTCTGTATATCTCTGACTGTTCTGGAACTTCATCTGTATGCCAAGTTGATCTTGAACCTAGAGATCCACCTGCCTCTGTCTTCTGAGTTCTGAGATTAAAGGCATAGGCCACCATACCCAGCTATGACTATGTTCTATGGAGGACATTCAGAGAAGCCATGCCTGCAAGCATGGAGAAGGGAAAAAAGATCTTTGCCCTAAGGCTGTGTACTTCACCCACACTAGAAACCTCTGCTCCCTAATGTGCACATCCTTGATAAGCCTGACTATAAAATATCTGCATCAGTACACTGTCCCTTGGTGGAAGATGAGTCAGGAGGGAGCCAGGGTTGAGGCTTCATCATATTCCATGCACAGCCTGCTCCCTCCATCAGGATCCCCACCCGGGAGACTCATCATGTTAACCATGACCTCCTAAGAGACAGTTTAAAATCTCTGTCCGCTTCCTCTTCAGGCTCAGCATCCTTGCTTCATCTGGCAGCCTGCTCATCAAAACAGCCACCTGCTATGAACACAGGTGAACAAATACCTAGTCAAGCCTCTTTTTTCAGTTCTTCGGCATCTATGTCTAGAAGGACTTGTTAGTCATATGATAATTCTAACTTTTAAGGAATCACTTTCCTGTCTCCTGTAGTGCCTGTGCTGCTGCATAGGCTCAGTAGCAGTCCACAGGTGTTCCACCTCTATAGTATCCTAATGGCTACATTTCGTTGTCCAGTGAAATAAATGTTGTAGCTATAATAATGCTATTTTAACTTTTGATTACAATCCATACATTTCAGATGTTAGGATTTAACTGGTCAGTGACAGATGCAGGGCACATTTTCAGCTCCCTGTGGAGTTTCAGGCTGAGTGTAGAGAAGTGGAGACTCTTCATCTTGGTCATAGGTCTTTCCCCAGGCCTGTCACATCCAGAGATGAGCACTCAGAAACTGTGGTCTTCCAGGGACCTACACGGGACAAAGAGTAGGGAGAGGGCAGAGTGCCATGAGGCTCATATAGATGGGGCTGCTCCAGACTACGGACCAGTTGTCAGGACAGTGGGAGAGACCTGGGAGAGGTTGAAGGCCAAGACTCCAAAGGTGTGGTTATCAGTATAGTCTGGTGGGGCAAAGATGTATGATGTCACTGAGATGGAAACCCCCTCCGTCACTGGAATGGACACAGCTGACTTTGCTGTGACTGTGATCAGTACACTGTCACGTTTCCTCTTTAACAGAATGAACTAGAAATTATGTTGTGGTTTTGAAATAATTCTGTTTTTCTTAAATATTGGCTGACTTGCCACATGTGCATACATGATGTGCACACACACACACACACACACACACACACCCCTCACTGTCCTGAGCAAAAAGCTCTACTCAGAGTAGTCACAGCCTTCCAAGTTGTATCAGACCATAGTCAATGGGCTTTCCCAGGTAGTTTGTGGAGTGTGCTGTGAGGATCAGCCCTCAGATCATGTTCCCTAAATACTGTGGAAGGAACCTTAGGGTGGTGTAACTGACTGGGAAAGAAGCGGGTTATGTGACTGTGGAATTGTGAGGTTCATGGCCACTGGAATCATGAACACTGTAGGGTGGATAAAGTGATATTACAAGGTATCTAGAAGATGGTGACGGGTTGCCTTTGCAATGAGTGAAGGAATGGATGACAGCCGTCACCTAACTATAATACTGGGCTCCTGTAATAGCACTGAACACTGGGCTGCTTCCTGCCTGACTCTGCTCTGCTAAATTGGAAAGGTATTTCTTCTCTAAAAAATTACAAAATAAATTTTATTTGTCTAGGCACCTGTGGGAGGTAATTCATAGACTGGGCTTCTGGCTTGAAGTTAAGGCTAATTGGTGAATGTTTCTTTGTCTTCATCTTTTTAATCTCCAAAATGGATTTAACAGCTGTCCTTCAAAGAGACTCAATAATACAGTGGTTAAAATTTCAGACACTGCGTAAATTATCTGGGTCTGAGGGCAGCTCTACGAGTCTTGGTAATGCTGGGAGGATGTGCCCCTTTGTTATCTATAACATAGGAAAAGTCTTACCTTTGGAAGCGGCACAGACGGAAATAGGAGTTAATCAATAATGGGACCTCTGATACTAAGAGTTTTATTTTATTTGAAATTGTTTTTTCATGGTTTTCTCTTATATAGCCCAGATTTGGCATGAAAGTTACTATGTAGCTCAGGCTGGCCTGGAACTTGCTACCTTCCTACCTCAGCCTCTTGAGTGTGTTGGGGTTATATGAGTGTACCACTATTCCTGGATATTTTTGACTTTTATGTCTATGAATGAAAGGAAATAAGCAATAACAGTTAAAATACAGCATAATGTACAAATATTATAATATAAATCTTATGTTTTTATTTTTTAAACTTAATTTATAATTACTTTCCCAGCAGAGAATAGTAAGCAAGTGCCATTCCTCAGTCTGTGTTAACTGTGATGGGGACATCTGGAAGCTTACAGCCTCTTCTGGATCCCATTTCCTGCTTGTTCTCATTTCTAAATGATGGCTCATGGTTTACAAGTAACACACATTACAGTAGCAAAGCACATGTCATATCTGGCATCGCCCACTGCTACTTGTTCACTATGTCTTTCTAGACTGTTGTAGAGTCTGTTACTAGAATGTAGCCCTCTCTAAAAATGGTTTCCTAAACAACTATTTTGAAATTTTCTATTTTTTTTAAATTATTTTCAAAAACATCTGGTTTTGCCTATTGAATGACACATTTTTAACTATTGTTACCAATATACCAATATAAAATAATTTATTGATTTTTACTGATATGTCCTATTGGTTATTTAATTTACTGGTTGGTATGTGGTTAGATTAATTGTCTGCCATTAGAAATGATGTCATTATATTACATAGTATAGTCTTATGAGCTTCTTGAGAATAAATTTCTATAAGCCTGTCTGATATCTTTGAAACCTCATGCCAGAATGCCTACAGAAATTCAGTTGGGCAATAGAGCTCAGGGTGTGTGAAGGACTCTCATGGCCTCTGTATGGGTCTTCTGGCTAGGGCTGTACAGGGTGGGGAGGAAGTAGGCAGGCAGTAGGAGCATTGGGGCATCAGCTAGGTATGGTTCCCACCTCTGCCTGATATTGAGTGATTGTGGGCTTTTAATTAAGCTACAGATCAATCTGGGCTGCAAATTATTTTGAAATCTGGAAAGTGACTATTGAATGAATAGGTAGTTATTAAGCAAATTGTGATGGTTATTTGGTTCGGGGCATCCAGTATTACAGGTTCATAGATCCAGGCCCTCAGAACTGGTCCTAGTTCCTGAGCTGGAAAAGGTGGACACGAGAGCTTTGCAGAAAATTAGGTATGACCACCTACTTGTTAGTAGTGAGCCAGCATGGAGAATCCAGAAAGGACCAGGCCAACAAACTCCTCTGTACATGCCTATACCTTGACCAGGGTGGGTAGAAAGTAGGACATGTTGCTTGCAGATGGGGACAACATTTTTAGGATGTTTCTTTTTCAGAAACACTTTCAGAAATGCTTCTCATGCTGTTTCTTTGAACTGGTTTGGTTTTTACTTGTTTGTGGAAGATATTATCTGTTAGGACTGGAGACTGCTGACACAGAACTTTGAAAGGTCTCCATAGCTTTCAAGGTATTTCTGAAGCAAGCCATGAATGCTTTTAAGGATGAGTCATTTGGAGGCAAGCATAAAACCCTCATGTAGTGTCTCTGTGTTATCATTTTCAAGAAGGAAGATGAAGGCCCGTGCTCCACCACCTCCTGGAAAGCCTACTGCCCAGAGTGTCCACAGTGAACAGAAACTGCCTCATGATGCCACACTGGGTTCACAGCAAAGCCTGGTCCACATGAAGGAGGGACTACAGAATAGCACCTTGGACATCACTGTGGTCCTGCCCAGTGGACTGGAGAAACAGAGTGTGGTCAGTGGAAGGTAAGATCCTGGTACCTAGGTGATAGATAGCTCCTGTGTTCTGCTTCATTCATGTGGGAAGAAAAGGAAGAATGGGTGTGGGCATGTCATACTTAGTTCCATGTTGAATTTGACTCAGGTTAGAATACATGCTATGGATTGGTACAAGAGCACAGCCTAGGAGAACCAGAACAGTACCACTGGGGAAGAGTGTGGGCTAACTGGCCCAACCAGGCTCTCTGTAGTCTTTAGGGGACCCAGAGCTAAAAGCCCACCGTGGTAGAGTTTGGACTCAGAGAAAAGTATAGAGATACATAAATTTTCAGGTTTATTTTATGTGATAATTAAACATAATATTGATGAGTATTGCTTCCAGCCTCAGTCTATAGCCACAACTGGAATTGTTGTGTTCTAAAATACCATGCCTTTAGTTATGATGGGTAATATCACACTGTCTTTGAAGGTCTTACCACCAGCATAGGGTAAGAAGATATTTTTCAGCAGGGTTCCTCCTTGCTGCCATTGTCACAGGTATAGGGAGATCTTCACATTAGCAACAAAGGAGCTTCTTGGGCTTGAGACTGACACCTGGTGGCATTACCCCAGTCCCAGCTCAGAGACTCTGAATTGTAAGAGTTTCTGTGTGTGTCTGGTTGTTTTATAGAACAGTCATTATGTTTGGCACTCACTTCCTGCAAAGTCAGGAGTATGTTATACTATCATATCATAGATTAAAAATGATTTTAGAATGCATGCCAGTCTACCAGTAAATGTATATTTCCCATTTTTATATTTTGTCCCAGTTGATAGTTATCACTTTCTCTTCCCTTAGCTTGTGGCGTCTGGATAGTAACACATGAATCTTCTTTGACAAACACAGGAAAAGGTGGGGTTCCTCCTAGAAAGTAGAAATATTTCTGAAAAAAAAAAATGCTTTCAAGTGAATGCATTGTGCTCCCTCTATCCTTCAACTTCTTCTTCCCTTAGAGCAGTGATAACACTGTGCCGTTTTGTAAGATTGCCACAGAGACGAGGCCGAACCTTATAAAAGATTCAGATACATTCTCTGTTCTAAGCAGGGAAGCTTAGAGTCAGGAAGAATCAGCATCGGCCTGGAGGCCTCTGTTCCTGGGCTGCTCTCTGGGTGCTACAGATGAAGGCATGTTAGGTTCCTGTGTCAGGTTCCTGACTCTTTGCTTTTCTGTTACATTTTTTTCTCTCTTCTGCTTAAGCAGTGGCTTTAGCAAGGAACATGCTTATCTTGCCCTAAAAAGCACTTTACAAAACATAGCCAGCCTTGAACCTTGTGTTTCCTGACGGGCAAGAATCACCTAGAGAAAACATGCTAGTGATTGAATGCTTATGGCCCCATTCTGCAAATCATAGTTTTTGATTTTTTGAGCTGCTCTGTAACTTAGGGACTTTTACTTGTGTTTCTATCTGTTCTGAAATATTAAGATGTAAGGATGGGGCTTGGAACCGTTCCTGACTAAGGGAGAAGGCCTGGCAGGCCTTTAGGAGTTGGGCTGCCAGCTCTCTGCATGGCGGGTGGGAAGGAAGCCAGCAGCCCCATTGCTTTAATTGGGAGCACAAGTGAAGAGAATATCTTTGAAGACACAGTACCCTCAGCCCCGGGGGAGCTTCATAAAAGGCTCGTAAGTGTTGACAGTGTTAGGCTGTGTCATTTTAGTGTAGAAAATTAGTCACATCCACATTGGTTCACACAGCTAAGGGACATCTGGCAGGGAAAGGCAAGTGTTTCTTTTTCCAGAATAGATGAAATCTCTCCCAGGGTTCAGTCCTGATTCTGCCCCTAAGAACCATTGTGCCCCAAACACCACAGAATAGACAAGTTTATACCTGTGCAGGGAATTCCAGGTCACGAGCCTTGTAAAGCAGCATAAGACTTCTACTTCCTAGTTATTAAGCCTATGAAAAAGGCTATTAAAGGACATCATTATTTACAGGAGTTTCCATACCCAGTTTCCCCTTTCTTCCTTCCTCTCTCCTCTCCTTCCCTCCCTCCTTTTCTCCCTCCCTCCCTCCCTCCCTCTCTCCCTTCTTCCTTTTCTCTCTCCCTCTCCCTCCCTTTTAAATAAAGGAAATAGTCTTTTCTGTGTAAATAGCAAGACTGAGGGTCTGACATTTGAATGGCAAAGAGCTTGTTGTCCTGCAAAAGGAAAGGAGTGTTTTCACACACCCACAGCCCGACAGATAGTTCGTAGAAGGTTTTGTCCTTGTTTGGATGGTGGTCCTATTCCAATCCAGGAGAAGTATTACTTTGTGGGCTCTTGATAGGTTACTAAATAGTAAAATGTTCATTTATCCATCAAGCAAAATAAATAATAAATGACAAACCCATGCGAGTCACTGGGAAGAGTGTATCTCAGGCAGCAGGGGGAAGGGGAACATTTGCTGAGCAGCCCACATATGAAACAGGCAGGTCCATGTTACAGAGTCTAGAGTGAGGAGGAAAGGTAGATGGACCTGCCCATGCAGTGGTTTTTCCTTAGCCTATACAAATTGTAAGAAATCTGGCTTTGGAGCACGAATTTTCTTCAAACCCAAGGAAAAACAAACATATTGAGTGGCATGTAAAATTCAGATGAATTTTTAAGACAACCAGAATTCATTACTCTAAGGGTAATTAGGTGTGTCCAGGTCTGCCACGGTACAACCTCTTAATGAGGATCATATAGAAGACATCTGCTTCTCCTATAAGCTGGACACAGAATGGTATAGACCAGTGGTTCTCAACCTGTGGATCTCAACCTCCTTTGGGGTCAAATGAGCTTCTCACAGGGGTCACCTAGTGATATACTACATTGCATATCAGATATTTACATTACGATTCATAACATTGGCAAAATTAGAGTTACGAAGTAGCAGTGAATAATTTTATGGTTGGAGGTCACCACGACTGTATTAAAGGGTTAAAGCATTAGGAAGGCTGAGAACCATTGCTGTAGACTCTGAAGAAAGGTGACCTCTAAGACACAGGTGAAAAACAGTAAGGACAGAGTTAAAAAAGGACAAGAGTAACTGTGGTCAGAAAAGGGATACCTTTGGGGCAGAACCTGTCCACACTTGCTGCCATTACCCGCATCATATGGGATCGCTACTGAACAGGATAAGCACCAGGTTCTCCTGGATTCCCAGCTGAAGCTTATCTCCTCTCTTCAGAGCAAAGATTCCAGGCAACGTTGTTTTCAGATTGTTTTTAAGTTCAGTTGCCTTAAGAAGACAGGCTCTCTCCACTTAGCAACCTGCACCTCTCTCTAAACCCAAATTGTTAGACCTCTTTTAGACAGGCAACAGCTACATGGCCCTGGGAGATCAAGTCTCTCGAATTTTACTCCATTGTTCTCTCTGTAGCATTTGTTAACCAGGACCCAGGCTTTCATGAGACTAGATTCTGGTTGGAGATTTCAGCTTCATATCTGAAATCCTGCCTTTGGCCATCAGACCTCCCCGTCTATGGGCCTTTTTCTGGTCTCCTATCTTGTTCTTGACTGTATTGCTGTCTTGTGCACATGTTCCCTGGTAAAGATCCTCAGTGCAGACTCTCTGCCAAGGACCTTGATTACATCTTGCCTTTCCTCTTTGGTGCCACATGAACCTGACAAACTGGACTTTCTGTCAGGATTTGTACTGACCTTGTGGTATGCCTCACCCAGAGCTTAGGGCCACATGCTGGCCTTGGTCCATACCAGAAACTAGGACACAATGGAACAGTTTGAAATTTGGCCATGTGTGTAAATTCAGTTTGTTTTAAGACTGCTGGGATACACCTGAAAGCACTTTGCGTACCTAGTACCCGGTGACCATTCAGTCAACATAGGTTCCCAGTGTGCATGTTATGATACTTAGTATCATGAAATTCTAAAGGTGAGCCCCTACAACTGTAGCATTGGCACCACCAGGGCACTTGTAAGAAGTATAGGTTGGGGGTTGGGGATTTAACTCAGTGCTAGAGTGCTTGCTTAGCAAGTGCAAGGCCCTGGCTTTGGTCCTCAACTCCAGGGGGAAAAAAAGTGTAGGTTTTTCAGCCCCACCCAAGCTTGGCTGAATCAGAACACCATGGGTGGGGTCCATTAAACTATGTCTCCATAGCCCTAAAGTTTCAGATAGCATCCTCATCAGGAGATCTTCTGCTAACAGCATGTTCTTGGTTGTGCCCTTGGCCAGGCACTCTGTCCTGACAGTGAGTTTGGGCTCTTCCTGGCCTGATGACATGAGGAAGGAGATTGGAGTACTATATGTACTCCATCGTCTTTATCACCCAGACACCCAGATGGAGTGTCCTCAGTGCCTTTCCACCTATCCCATCCATCTGAGGGTAGCAACAGGTTGTGATCTAGAGACGAATTCCCTTCAGTCCAGGACGGCAGTTGGTTTGTGGCCCCTCTAACTTTGGCCTGTTGGCCTCTGAGTGGCTCACCAGCGTGGGGATAGTGCTGGCGGCCACACAGACCTTTCATTTCTTGTTTAGTTCCTTAGTACGACTCTGAAAACAGCCACATAAGGCAGAAGACCAGTTTCTTACTGGAGTCACTGACTCAGGCAAAACCAAGTTTTAAACTTTGTATACTTTTAGAAAGCAATAGTTGTATATTATACGTACATAAATATGAAAAAAAATTTTCTTGTCCCCCATGACAGGGTTTCTGGACTATCCTGGAATTCACTTTGAAGACCAGGATAGCCTTGAACTCACAGAGATCTCCCTAACTGCCTTCCGAGTGCTGGGATTAAAATCACCACTGCCTAGCAGAAAGCAATATTTTTAAGAGAAAGAAATTTATAAAAATTCTGCTCACTTTTCAAATTTATAATTAGGTTTATAATAAGTGCCCAGAAACAGTTTCATTTGTGTTATGAATGTTAAATGGCATTGGGCAGCAGAGGGCAAAGCAGCTGAATGAAAAAAGCCATGGAGGGTAAATGGGAGGAAAAAATTAAAGAGACAAGTGAGCCCTCCAGCTCAGCTTACTTGTTTCTGGGAGATGGTCACTCCCCCTTTATCACTGTAATTTTTGTTCTTCTATTAAGCTTGTGATTCTGCCTTAATTTTAAATGGGTGATTAGGTAGAGAAGTGGCACAGAGGGCTATTTGTGTATTTTATTCAGATTCTTGAGTGTTCCTATGGAATCATCCCTGGGGGCCAGATCTCTAGCACTTCCTGGTTTCCAGCATGCCTGACTATGCCTTTGACATTCTGAGAGTGTCTGATTGCTAAGTTTCATTCCTTAGGAGATAGGGGAAACTCTTTTGCAATTTGAGGGTCTGATGTCACTTGCTGAGAGCAGGGTGGCACTTAGTCACATACACTGTAATCCTCTGCCAGAGCAGTATACAGTTCACATGGAACAGAGCAGTGAACTGCCATTGACTTAGCAAGTGGTGACATGGTGCCTGCATCTGGGCTGACAGTGTTTGGTGTCTTAAAGCTATTAATTTACGGAAGTCTCCAACAACCCTCTAAGGTGGGCTCTAGCCTAATGCTCATATTGTGGGGAAACTGAGGCACAAAGCAGTGCAGGCACATTTCCTGGGCCAGAGAGGCCATGTGTAGTCATCCCAGGATTCCACACAGGCAGGCTCTCTGAGTACCACTAACAGAATGCTGCTGTGGGAAAGACACCAGTCCCTGACTAGAGGATGATGTCAGGAAAGCTGTGGACCAGGGGCCAGGATTTCTCTAGGAGTTCATGGGAGGAGAGGCCAGGCTCAGCAGGTGGTGAGAATGATGAGGAGTGGCCAAGCAGCCTTGCCAGTCTTTGGAAAATTCTCTGTGGTAGAGTGACACAGTGACCTACTAAGACCGTGTGGAGGTATGCGCATAACACTCAGTTAATGAAGTCATTAGTTCTTTGTCCATGGGCAACAGGAGGCAAGTTGGGATCTGATGGGTCTGTCATAAAAACACACAGAGACTGGAGGCAGCTAGCACCTCTGTCCATTCTTAGGCATTGCCACTATGCATAGAGCCATCTTTCCCTTTCTGGATAGGTTTCTCCAGGAGGATCAAAGGAGGTTTTAGAGACCTGAGGAGCTCCACCAAGTAGCTGTTTAACAGGTGTGCTTCAAACTGGAACAGACATGGCCCCACTCACACTTGGTTTTGACAAATGTAAAATGATGGCACAGTCACAAGTCATGCCAGTGAGCATCCTCTTTTAAATCAAGTGCCAACCCCCTCCCGACACATAGTAAATTGACCCAGCATCCTGTGTTTTCTTATCTGTACCCAGGTTCCCATTACAGCCAAGTCAGTCCTCAGGAGAAAGCTTCAATGGGACTTTCACAGTGAAAGATAGCTAGGGCAGGGTGGAGCGGCTACTAAGACCTCAGTCCTATCTGGCCCCAAACCTCCTCACCTTTCCATAAAAACTTATCTGAGCTGGGTATAGGCTCTAGCCACCAGGAAGGTGTGAGAACCTGTTTGCTCCTCAAGGCAGAATTAGTAATGACTTTGTGCTCTTTAGTAATGTAACATGCATAGTGAGGCATGTCTAGTTTATTGTGTTTGGGAGTTTTAGGTTTTGCTTTGTTTTTGTGCCTCCCCCTCCACTTAATGATAAGTTGGAGTAGGTAGGTTATTGGCTATTGATAACTGCTCCACCCCTCAGATATTGAAATGTCATTGCAGTTCCTCAGAATGAAGCACTCTATGGAAATCTACAGCCTTTCCTCGGTGACTTGGAAGGATGGAGGACAGTATCACATAGAGATTGGGTCAGCTGATTTTAGAATGTCATTTGATATAGAAAGTTGAGATTTGGACACCAAGTTATTTACTTCGACCTAATGATAAACACTGTCAATACATAGAGTTGCATGTATTGGCATCTACTAAGGCAAAAAGGATGTGTTCTCTCTAGTGGAGAAAGCCCCAAACTTGCATGCTCCCTTTTACAGCACTTTGCATTTCAGATATATTTCCAAGGACTCTGGTTGTTCTTCAGACATTAATGTTTGGATGGTAGTAGTTAATGGCTGTGTGCTTTTTTGTGTTCTTTGATAGTTTCTATTCACATGTTTATGTGGTGGGAATAGATTCCCCAGTGGGCTTAGTTGAGACAAAGCTGGAATCAGTATCCATAGACGTGGGTATAAATTGAGCCCCAGCACGGCTGGTTTGTAGAAACCCCGGAATGACTGTCCCTATTGCTCATACTGGAACTACTTGTGAATATAAAGTAAGTAGCCCTAGGCTACCAGAAAGACAATGAATGGAAATTAGTATTTTTAAAAGATTTATTTTCATTTATATATATATATATATATATATATATATATATATATATATATAAGCATTTTGCCTGCATGTATATTAAAATGCATTGCATATGTTCCTGGTGCCCTCTAAGGCCAGAAAAGGGTGTTAGATCCCCTAGAAGTGGAGGTACAAATGATGTGAGCACTACAAGGATGTTGGGAACCAAATCTAGGTCTTCCACCAGAGCAGCAAGTGCTCCTAACCACTGAGCCATCTCTTCAGCCCAATGATAGTGGCATTTTATTGTTCTATTTCATTTTATTTTTCCACAGTGCCTATTTCAGGATAGTCAAGAGTTGTGCCAATGAGCTTCACCCTCAGCCTTATTTTATTTTATTAAACCACCAGAAAGAAAAACCTAAAACCAAAGGAGGCAACAGAAAATCATAACAAATATTCAAAGAATTACACAGCAATGCTTCTTAAACTCTTCAACAACCGCAACAAAGAATAAATACCTCCAAACTACAGTATCAGCAAACCACAGGCTGCCATCCAAAATGAACCGGGATGAAAAAAAACCTGAACAAAATACTAGCAAAGAAGATGCAGGGTTGTTTTAGTACTTTTCAAAGAGATTTCTCTGTGGAGAAGGCTTTACTGTGGTACACTGCATGGCAGTGTGTGTTTTCCTTGTACTGTAAGTTCTGTTTTGGGAGAAAGGTGAGTGTGTATCCAAGCTGGAAGAATCAGATGTCACAGCAGGGCTTATCCTGCTCATGCCTTAGTGTATATGTGAAGGTTGAAGGTGTCCTGGTCCCTCCCACCCAATGTCAAAGGGAACACAGGTTGCCAGCTTCATGAGAATCATTGTACTGGTTGGCGCATGCTGTTAATGTCATCTTAGATGGAAGATGTGGTAACCATTGCTTGACAGTCTTGAGTATTTCTTTGAATCAATCAGAATATTCTCGATGTTCTATGGTGATATGTTATTTGTATGTTAATAAATAAAGTTGCCCGGGGGTCAGAGCTATTAGCAAGCCATAGGAAAGCAGGGCAGTGGTGGCATACGTTTGTAATCCCAGCACTTGGTAGGCATAGCTGGGTAAGTCTCTGTGTGTTCAGGGATACAGCCATTATTGGATACACATGCCTTTAATCTCAATACCAATCATGGAAAACCTGGAGGCCTATACAGACAGGCCATGACGAGGCGGTCATGTGGTTGGGTTTACAACCAATGAGAAGGCAGAACAGGAACTCTATATAAAGACTTTAACACAGGGGTAGCGGGTTGGAGAGGTAGGACCACTGCAGGAGAAAGGGTAAGGTTTTAGCTCTTAGCGCTGACCTCTTGGCTTTCTTCTTTGCATTGGTTCTGTGTTTCTTATTTAATAAGAAGGTTGGTTACATCTACAATGTTCATTAGGTAATAAATGAATAAATAAATGAATGAGAAATACGGCATTTAGGGGATTCTTTTGATACTGTATTTGCTCAGAGCCAAGGAGCAAGGAACCAAGGGCTTGTGTTTTCTTCTGGGTTCAGAGACGAGGCTTTATTTATTTTAAAAATTTTCAAATAAATGACCCCATACACCAGTAAGTGTTCTAGTTATCTGTATTATTTTCTGAATTAAGCATGTACTTTTATGCTTTTTCATTCTCTCTCTCTCTCTCTCTCTCTCTCTCTCTCTCTCTCTCTCTCTCTCTCTCTCTGTGTGATTTTTATTGTATTGCAGTAAGTTCTTATGTATCTATTGTGGTGAGAGACTTTTAAATCATGAATGGATGAATTTTGTAAGATATTTTTAGTATGAATTGAGATGTATATTTGTGTTTTTATGGTTAATTTTGATGGTATGATATATCACATTATTTATTGACTTGCCCCTATATATTGAACTGGGCTTGAATTCTAGAAATAAATCCTATTCATTCATGGGACATAATCTCTTTGCTGTGCTATTGAATTATATTTGCTAGTATTTTATTGGAGTTTTTTTTTCATTTGGTATGGCAGCCTGTAGTTTGCTGATGTTGGGAGATGTTTATTCTTTTGTTACTATTATTCATGAGTTTAAAAAACATTGGTGTGTTATTTAATTAATTGGTATATTTTCTGTTGTATCCTTTGGTTTTAGATTTTTCTTTTTGGTGAGGTTTGATTTGGTGAGGTGATTCAATCTCTATTTATTATTGGTATGTTCAAGATTCTCATTTTTCTTTGATTCAATCTTGGTAGAGTCTGTCAGTTGTTAATTTGTTGGCTCATTGTTCATCAAAGTACCTCTCAATTTTTTCAACTTAAAATTTAATCTTTGAATTAATCTTTACATTTACAAATAACTGAAAAACCAGTGCCATGAAACCATAGGTTGTGTAGTTTTGCTTGTAGAATTTAGAGAGCTAACCTAGTAGATCCATGGATTTAACTAGAAATAGAACTCTTATTTTCATCTATTATGATTTTGAGGGGCTGTTAAAATAGTTTTTCTTTTAGTAATGTTGGTAGCATTGAAACTGTTAATACACCATCATATAATCATGGATAAGAACTTAGTTTTTACATTGTTTTTGTCGTCATTGTCTTCTTCCTCCTCCTCCTCCTCCTCCTCTTCTTCTTTTCTTCTCTAGGCTTTTTCATGCATCCACATGTGCATTTGCTCTGCCTCACTCAGCTAGACAGAAGAGAGCCTGCAGACAGTCTTGATAACCATGATTTGTCTTCTCCTTTTCAGCCATGCCATGATGGACCTTCTGGTTGACCTCTGCCTTCAGAACCACCTGAATCCTTCTCATCATGTCCTGGAGATCTGGTCTTCTGAGACCCAACAGCCCTTGAGTTTTAAGCCAAATACTTTGATTGGGTCCTTGAATATACATACTGTACTTCTGAAAGAAAAAGTTCCTGAAGAGAAACTTAAGCCTGGCCTACCCAAGGTGCCTGAGGTCAGTGGTGCCTGTGTGTTGTCCGAGGATATACAGAGATACAGATTTGTGTGTGAGTGAGTGTGCAGGAGTGCTGTCGAGGTCAGGCTTGCTCTTTGTTTGAGTACCTAACACACAGTGCTGTATTGAGGTTTCTTCTTCTATGCCAAGTGAAGGTAAGTACTAGTGAGATTTGCAACAGGAAATAAGAACTTTAAAGCCGGGCGGTGGTGGGGCACGCCTTTAATCCCAGGACTCAGGAGGCAGAGGCAGGCGGATCTCTGTGAGTTCGAAGCCAGCCTGGTCTACAGAGCGAGATCCAGGAAAGGCGCAAAGCTACACAGAGAAACCCTGTCTTGGGAAAAAAAAAAAACTTTTCAAATTTATAATGTTTATTGTTGTAATACTAACCCTTTCTATATTATACAAGTGGAACTATTATAGGACAAAGTGTCCATCAGAACCACCTTGAAGATGGAAGTGTTCCTAAATCTGCATTCTCCAGCATGATAGTCACAGATCCTATGTCACATCTGAGCACTTGAAATGTAGCTGTATGATCAAGAAATTGATTTCTCAATTTTACTTAACTGGTGACTGCTTTCTTGACACACATATTTCTGGATTTCTTTTGGCCCTAAGAGTCAAAGCTCCATAAAAGAATTTGCTGTCTGAGAGAGAGAGAGAGAGAGAGAGAGAGAGAGAGAGAGAGAGAGAGAGAGAGAGAGAGAGAGAGAGAGAAGAAGAGATAGGCCCTTTGGAAATTTTTATTTTAATTTTTGATTTTTGCTATTTTTCTTTTGGTTCTGAGAGAGGGGGATGGGGGAGGCATATGAAGTTGGGAAGTGGATAGGACCTGGTAGGAGTTGGGAGAGAAGAGAGATTATGATCAAAATGTATTATTTAAATTTTTTAATTTAAATGTTTAGACTGTTGTTTTCAGGGAATATCTTAGTTGTTATTCTGTTGCAGCCATAAATTATCAAGTAAAATTAATCCCAAATTCCTTTAAAATTTTTTTTTTCTGAGGTAGGGTTTCCTTGTGTAGCCTTAGCTGTCCTGGAACTCATTGTATAGATCAGGTTGGCCTTAATATAACTATATGTAGTGCATATGTACATACATATATAAACATGTATATCTATATGTACATATATGTCTGTCCATACCTTATATGTACTTATATTACATATAATGCCTTTATATATAAACTTATATATATTCACATTTATATGAATATTTTGACTTCTAAAGCAAGCATTTTTATTTTATGAGACTTATTCTTAAAACTCTTCGTACCATTTACAGAGAGTTTTCCCTTAGGAAAAATATATAAATGATTTGTGCCGGAGTCTAACCAGAATCTGTGAAAAGCTGTACCCGTACAGGATTTAAATTTAGATGCCTCACTTACGTCAAGTTCTCCCTGTTGTTTAGTAGTTGCTAATTACAAGCGAGATCCTAACAAACATCTGATATTCTGTACATTTATTTTTCAGTATTCATTATGTTATTTTTTTTCTCCTGGACCCACCAACTTCGTGGAAGAACGACCAGGGCCATACTCAACTCTAGAATTAAAACAGAAATTAAAGTAATACCAGGAAGACGTATTCATAAAATTCTTGTGTCTGGTGTGTCCTTGCAGAAATCCGTGCGTCTGGTCGTGAATTACCTGAGAACGCAGAAAGCTGTCGTGCGTGTGAGCCCTGAGGTGCCTCTGCAGAATATTCTGCCAGTCATCTGTGCAAAGTGTGAGGTCAACCCGGATCACGTGGTTCTGCTCCGGGACAATGTTGCTGGGGAGGAGCTGGAGCTGTCCAAGTCCCTGAATGAATTAGGGATAAAGGAGCTGTATGCGTGGGACAACAGAAGAGGTGAGGCTTGCCGTGTTGAACATACCCTGACGCATAGTGACTCGGACATGAGGTCTGCACACAAAACCTGCATTCTCTGCTTGCCTCTGTCAGTAGCACTACCTAGCCATGGGTGTGGGGAGCTTCAGGCACCTGGGTTTTTGTCCAGTGGTGAAGTAGGCAAAAGAAGAGTTTGGCCTGTCTGCTAAGTGTGTCTCCGTCTTCCTTCAAACTCTGACAAGAAATAGCAAATAAAAAGAAATGGTGAGGAGAGGGTCCACCTTTTGCTATTCCTAATCAGAGACCACTTACAACATTGCTTGAATTCTGGTTCAGATGTCATGGCTTTAGCCACTGTTCGTGTCTAAGATCACCTGCCAGAAGAACATTGACTATCTTCTGACGTCCACCAATTCTGGTCCCCGTGATCGGTGCCGCAGACAAATTTTACACTAGTTTATTGCCCATGCTGCACCTGTGATGTGAATGTGGCACCATCATTAGTGCCATAGATGAGTGGCAGCCCCTGTGTAAGGTTGGTACAGAGAAATACATTATGTAATCAGAATTTTCCAATTGACATAACAATTTGAAGTTTTAGTTAAATAACTTTCAGGCAAAAGTATAATTTATAGTCCTTGGCATTTTAGTTTTAAGATGGACTTTCAAGTGTGGAACCCTGCCCTTGGTCAAGACATAGATGCCACCATCATGAAGTCAGAGCAGCTGCGATTACCTGCTGAGGACTCTCACAAAATTGGTCCAAATAACACTGCTGCTGCCCATGTTATTTATTCTTCAGATAGCCTGGACTTCTAAAAACATGCAGCTGGTCTTTTATATGTGCTTCTATATTCTTTCAAACACAGCTTTTTAAGATAATTGATTCTAATAAAAATATGGTTTTCCTTATTAGCAAATATATTGTGAAAACAGTGGTTTTCTCTGGGTCCAATCCATACTTTGGCTCCTCTCAGCCCACCCCTTCTCTGGGGATTCTGGGCTCATTCTCCCGATTGGCATGGAAGAAAGGGTTCCCGTTCCAGGTAGGGTGAGGCACATGGAGTAGTTAGTCTCCTGGAAAAGGTGCTCTGAGGCTTAGAACATAGTCAAGTTTATTGCTGCTGATATTCGTGGTTCTGGAGGTTGAACTTGGGACCTCAGGTGTGATCTCCCAACCCGAATCTTTTTCAAGCACAGATGGCAGTGCTCCCTTGTCAGCAGCACAGACCTGGTGCTGAGAGTGTGTTTGCTTGGTTACATTTAAACTTGGATTATGGGATTTTTTTTTGTATGTGTATGTGGTGGGGGGTCTTCTCTTGTAATACAAAAGGAAAAGAAAATCTCTCCTAATAAAAAGAAGAAAGAAAAGGAAAGAAAAAGAAAAACTGTTCTATGTTTAGCGATCCAAGAGTAAAAAGGCTTGCACACCTAGGCTTCTGTTACACACTCACTTGGACATATCTTAGAGAGCAGAGGCCAAGCTGCTTCCTGGAGAAGTCATACCAGCCTGCCTCTCTGTTAAGGAGAAGTCCCACTGAGGTATCAGAGACATGGAAGCTGAAGCCTCAGCAGGACCAGGACGCTGAGCACAGCTCATGCAATCTGTGGACATGGCGAGCTTCAGAACATGAGATACAGCTAGTTAGCCTTTCCACTCTTGACCGAAACTCCAAAGACCCAGAGTAGCCCACTCTCTGCCATGGCAATCTATCTCCCAACCCCGTGGTGGGGAGACCTCCCAGCCCAAGGCCACCTGTATGCCTTTCACTTAGACCAGGCCTGTTTTGATGTCCTTGGGTACCACCCTGCCACATGCCTCCATCTCATCTTGCTAACCACCAGACATCTAAGAAGAAAGGAGTATTTCCCAGAGGCTGTCCTTGAGGACCCTTCTCTCTTTGGAAGCTGACCAGCAGAGCTGCTAGGGTGTGGGTAGGGAGCCTTTGCAAGAGGGTGGGGAGCCCTTTCCCTGGTCCTGAGGCTGCTGGAGAAAGGGGAGAGAGCCGCAGGAGTTTAAGGCTGCTGGTTGATGCCTCAGCTTTCTGGGCTCTGATGGATGCTTGAAGAATCCCAAGGCTCTGCTGCCCCCTGTGCTCACTGCAGGCCTAGCAGCCTGTGCTGGGGAGTCCAGGCTTGGAGATACAGGCCAGCTCTACATACGCCTTTGTCACTTTTGTGAGTGCTGTAACCCACACTTGAGACTGAGGAGTACTTAGACCTTTGGTCGGGGCTGCTGCAGACCTCCAAGCTGTTCTCATTCTCTCCTTGCCTGCCTTTTCCAGTTCCTCTGACCAAAACGCAGTCTGAGCCTTCTCTGAGCTGTCAAGGTAACAGTGAGTGAGCTCACAGGCTGTACTCTGCATGGCTCCAGATGGGAGGGTGCACGGAGGCAATATGTATGTCAGACCCTGAGGAGCTGAGTTTGGCTTGAGGCACCCCAGGGAAGGGAGGGGGCTTGCTGGGTTGACAGGAGGTTATGATTTAAGTTTTCAGTTCCCCAGTTGTTCTAGACAAGAATGTGTCCGTGTGAGAATTGGCTATGTGGCTTTAACCCACAGGAATGGCTGCGACTGTTGAAGATAGGGAAGTCTGTGGCTCAGGGCTTCAGGTGAAAGTGATATGTACTGAAATGACACCAGGCCCCTTTGCCTCCACTTGCCTGTGGTTCTTACTTTTGTGCTTCCTGCCCAGGTCTAGCCTACATGCTGCGGAGTATGCGCCAGTGTGGGATTGAAATTGAACCCTATATATCCTAGTAATATAGGTGTGCAAAGGGTTGGTTCAAATTTGGCACTTATTTAGAAAGTCTCTGTGTATTTACATGTACATTCACATATATATATATATATATATATATATATATAAACACGGAGGTACACATATTTACATGCATGTATTTGTGCATATTTGCATAAGCATATGCACACAGACATAAACACATATGAATTACGGTTTTAGTGAGCCTTTTAGAGCGTGCACATACCCATATGAACATATATACTAAAAGCTAATATTCTGATGAGTTTCTGTTTTTGGCAGGAAGTTTATCATTTTTGCTAAAGTATTGATTATAATATAATAAATGCCAATTTATGTTTAAAACACATTTAATGAAAGAAAATGCAGCATTTGCATGGAGCCCAGTGATGTGATGGAGCATCTGAGTGCTGGGGCTGTGTCCTGTTTGCCAACCCATAGCTGACCTGTCTCCTCAACAACAGAATTTCGCACACAAGCGTTCTCTCTAAGGAACACCATTGTTCTGAACAGGACACTCATGACACGTGAAGGCTTTAGCCATTCTGGGAGATTTTACTTCGGGATTCAGGCAGACTGGGGCTGGGGAGAGGTACACTTACTGCCTCTTCCTTTGCTGCCCTGTGTCTGTACCTTAGAGACAGCCTATGATGAGAACGCCCTCATGGACCATGTGGGAACTCCCCCCTGTTCTCTCTTCTGGGGACTCGTTCGCTGGCCTTTTTCTGGTGACGGAACTGCCAAGTTTCCACTTTTCCCATCCAGACAAACAGGTGCTCTGGACTAGATTCAGCGATATTTTCACTTTCTCCTCCCCTGTGCCACTCAGCGCACCTCTATCATTGTCTCCATCACTTTCATATGTCCACGTGGGAATTGCTTTCTTGGAGATTAAACGTGAGCCTCGAAAATAAGTGCACTGTTCCCATGTGTGGTCATCCATTTGGGGCTGTGATTCCAGTTCTTAGAGCACATGCTCTCCAGGGAGATCTGTGTGTCCACAGCTCACTGCCCTCATGGGAGAGCAATCTGTCTGTGGAGACTGAGGTCAGTGTAGAGATCTCTCTGTTGCTCAGCTCTCTCCCTTCTACAGTGTTTGTCTAGTATCAGGAACCTCTTATCGATCCATAGGTAAAGCCTTTAGAAATAGGCCATCAGTTTGAGGCCCTACTGTACCACGCAGTTGTTAGACAGTGGCGTGAGAAGCCACCTTGCAAACACTATGGTTCTGATGCCAGGGTCATACATAACCCTTCTTCATAGGGTGCTCTCAAGCCTCTGAACAGTCACTGTCTATTCAGGGAGAGAGACAAAAGATTTAGCTTGCTTTCAGTTTTCTGTTTCAATCTATCATTTTCATGGGTACTCTAGTTGGGCCTGTGTAATAGCAACATATTTTCTTTCTTCTTTGTCTATGGGGTTCTGCAATGTTACCAATTTTAATATATCCTTGTCATATGCCATTCAGTTGTAAAACCAATATAAATTAGAAATACACATGTTAATGCATGCCGTAATTTGAATATGGTATTATTTTGTGCTGTAAGATGTTTTATTCTTCCTAATTCTACACTGAGTGAGGATGTTTGAAGTGACTAACATATAATTATGTGTGTGCATGTGTGTCTGTACAACTGCATCATGTGAGCAAGTCCTCTGGTTTGGTTGCTGTGTGATGCAGAGCCTGCTAATCTCCTTAGCTAAGCCCTTTGCATGTCGTTAAGCGCCCTGGCCTGCCCAAACAGGACAAAGGCCCTGCTTCCTGCAGGATGGTTTAAGAACCACAGGGCCTGGGTTTGGCTTTGTTGAATAGACAGTATTATTTCATTACGAATTTTTAAAATGCATTGACTTTTATGTTCTTCTTCAACTTAGATAATGAATCCACATGTCATTAGACACAAACATTAATGGGTGTTTACTGTATTTGGGTTGATATACTCATGGCAGTTTGTCAAATCCCACAAGGAAGTATTTCCACCAGTGGTCCTGAGGTCTGGCTGTCCTGCAGTTTGGTCTGGAAAAGTTGATCTTTCTTCCCTTTACAAACACCTGTTTTGTTTGTTTTTTGTTTTCCCCAGCTCTTTCAGACCTTTAAGTGTTGGAAGAGAAGGGCAGAGTGAATGAAGATTAAAAGCCCAGAATAGGCAAATAGGAGAATGTAATTTAAAAAGGAAATATTCTGTGATTGGAGAGAAGACAGCTCAGTAGTTACGAGAGCTTACTGCTCTTTCAGAGGACCTGGGTTTGGTTCCCAGAACTTACATGGCTGCTCCCAAACATCTGTAACTCCAGTTGAGGGGACTTGATGTCCTCTTTGGGCCTTTGTGGGCACCAGGCATGAATGTAGTACACAGGCATACATTGTAGGAAAACACTCATATGTGCAAAATAGCACAAATCAAAATTTTAATTAAAAATATAAGAAAGATTATAGAAAAAAATGGTGACCAGTATCCCTGGAGATCTGGTTTCAATAGTACCCAAATCTCTTCCACTGTTCCTCCATGTTCTAGGAAAGAACAGGGGAGTTAATGATTTATTTAGCATTTCTTTAACCTTACTTATAGCTCATAAGGCAGACTGTCTTTTACAGATGCCACAGCCCTTGCAGCAATACTGTTTAATTGAGTAGCACCAGACCATCTCTTGCCCTTAGAGCTTAAGTAGTCAGTCCAGATGGAGAAATACTGTCAGTTCCAAGGCAAGTGTAAAAGATCAGTCACATTCATATTAACCTTGGTAAGATTATAATATTTTAATTATTTTTGATTAGATAAAATTATAAAGTTGACTTCACCTATTTTTAATTTTTCTTGTTTGTAGAAAATTTCTTAATTAAAAAAATAAAAGAAAATAGTCTATTTTCAATAAAAGAAAAAAGGAAAATACATCACCTGTTTTTTTTTAATGCAGTTGCTAGCAGATGTAAAACGACAGTTTGCATTAGCCGTCTCTTGAAAGGCATTCACTATTGAACCTCCATTGATTTGCTTCTTTTCAGCTCCACAAGGACAAAGCCACTCTCAGAGAAAACGCTGCTTTAGTCCCTAAAAACCTGTGTAAGGACTTCATGTGATTTCCTGTGGGCCAGAAGGCTTTGAGGTAGCGCCGAAGGCTTTGAATGAAATCGTGATGATTTTCTTCTTAGAACTAACAGATTAAAGGATTCGGTTAAGGTTTTAACAAGTGAAGTACTTAATCTCACATTTCAAATGCTGAAGAATACAACTTTTTTTTTCCCCTCCAGAAGTGTTCAGGAAATCATCGCTTGGCAATGATGAGACAGATAAAGAGAAGAAAAAATTTCTGGGATTTTTCAAAGTTAATAAAAGGAGCAGCAGTAAGGTAATTCACCATACGCATATGACTCTGTGGGGTATAAAGGTGTTTCTCACAGTGTTTCTACTGGACCGATCTTGGGACTTTTTCTAAATAATTCTGTTTAGTAATACTGAATCTTCACCTGGTGCTCCAGGCAATTATTTAAGATGAAGTCATTCACTTATTGGTAGACTGGCAAACCTCTGGACTCCCCAGGCCAAGGTGAGCCACACGCTGCCGGGTGCCCACACTCACACGGAATGCTGTGAGACTCAGCACATAGTCCTTGGGTATATGAATGAGTGAATCTTGCATTATTAAGTTTAAGTGCCTGGTCAGAGATCTTGCAAATAATTGCAGCTTTCCAGCTTAAAGTGGGAAGCCTGGAATTGCTGAACTCAAGACCATTTGCATCTGTCTGGAACTAGCCCATTTTCTATAGTTTTAAATGTTTTCATACCTTTTTAACATGGCCTGAAATCATAGAACACTGTAAGTTGTTTTTGATCTCATTACTCTTTGTTAAATAAGTCTTTATAGTCATATTATAGATGTAATATTGTACGATAATTTAAAGTCATATTACAAAGAGTTAAAATGAAGGGCTTTTTGTTTGTTTTTACTTCTAACTATTTGGCAAAGAACACATTAATGTTATTCTATTCTTTTAATATGTGTATTTTACTAGCATGTGGTATCTGTTCCTTGCTAATAATTATGGCTCAAAAATACGAAGTTGAAGGTAAAGGGATGGCTTAATGGGTAAGCGTTATCTGCTGTGCAAGCATGAAGAAAGACCTGAGTTTGGGTTCCCAGCTCCTTGTAGAAAACCAGGCACGTGTGTGTAAGACACACATATAACACACACACATGCATACACACACACACACACACACACACACACACACACACACACACACACTGTTTTTTTTAAAGAAATGACTAATATAAATAATTGACATTAATGCCACTCTCTCAGTTGGAACAGGGTCGCCATCTGTGTGGCTTTATAAGAGGTGAGGAAGCCCTTCAGCTCTACTTCACAAACCTGTACCTCTGTGCTACATAGATATCTCCTGCTCTTTCCTTCTGCGACTTGCAGCCCTGGTATGATTCTGCCTGTGCTCGCTGCTGGTGATGGTGCTAAAGTTTAGAAACGTAATGTGCTTTGCCCAGTGTCCCTGACCCGTTAACGCCAGGGTCTGTCCAGCTGTGGAGGCAATCAGCACCTTCCACTAGACATAAGTTACACAGAACTCCAGACTCTTAACAGCGAAACCCTCATGTCTTCAGTGATTTCAGTCTACTCCTCCTTCCTCCTGGAACCTTGTACTGGTTTTCTCATTCTGATTTGTGAATGGTGAGGTATATAATTATATATTTTCTGCTCTTTACCATGTTGTCCTGTGTTCTTTGAGAATTTGTGCTCAGGATATGACTCTTTACTGAGATTTTTTTAGCCTTGGGGAGTTCACTCCCCTCCTCTCCTTCCCCTTCCTTTCCTGGCCTCTTTTCCTTTCATGTCTAGTATAAATGAAATTAAGGAATCAAAATTCTTTAGGTCACTTAATTGTGTTTTTGTTCCTCGTGTTGTTTAGATGAACTTGCTGGGACTGTGTTTTCTGATGTCCCCTCGGTCACCAGTTCATAATAAAACCGCCATTCCCCATTCCTCACCTTAGATCTGGCTGATTCTGCAACTCCTTCTTTATGTGAGGCAAACCCCAAAAATAAAGCAAAATATAGGGGTCGGAGTACATTTGGTTTAGCCAGTAAGGCACCTGCCAAAATTGGGGTTTAGAGATGACCATGTAACTTTTAATTAGAAAGGAGTAGACACCAGGACTCCATGACTGTTAGTCATGTGGTGGTATAATCTGCTCTGTTCATCATAAGGACATTTCCTTATGTAGTGCCTTACCTTTTCTGTGTTGGAATTCTAGAGTCATTTTTCACTTTTTATGTACCTTATCTTTCATTTATTACTGCCTTATTTAAATATATTTTGCTCTAGACATCCACTTACTCAGCCTTGTCTTTATTCTCTCTCTCTCTCTCTCTCTCTCTCTCTCTCTCTCTCTCTCTCTCTCTCTCTCTCTCTGTGTGTGTGTGTGTGTGTGTGTGTGTGTGTGTGGTGTGTGGTGTGTGGTGTGGTGTGTGTTATGCATACACTTCCTAGCTCTTTGCCTCTCTTCTTGTTATAGTTAGAGGTTTTTGCATGCTAAATACATCCTTACCTTTGTCCCTAAAGACCTGGGAGAGAAGAATTATCATCACATTATACGGATCAATATGGTCAAGCAGCTCATGCCTTTGTAATTTAGTCAGTTATAGGATTAATAAATGCTAGAATTAACACCTTTCTAAGTCCTTTATGTTAATAACTCATTCATATTGTACAATGCTTAGCAAAACTTTCAATTTCTTTATCTATAAAAAACACTTGGAGTAACTTTAAAATGATTCTTAAAATCCTGTGATGTGATGACACAGTACAGAATCAAATCTGAGAATGGGGACTTGTGAAAGCATTCAAACTGAAGTTATATTCTAGTATATTGCCGTCATGGAAGACTATGCATAGGTGCATATAGGTGAGTGAACGTTACATCCATAAAATGTCAATAAAGTATATACCTTAAAGGGACATAATTTTGGTTCAAGTAAAGTGAGGGCCAATGTTTTATAATTTGATGTTTAATGCATGCCAATTTTGTATCACTTTGGCATCATATATTCTCTTAAACCAGTTGTTTTCAAAACATACCCAAGTGTCATCTTGAGACCTAATTGAAAGTGTGAATTCTTGCGGGTCATGTCCCCACATTCTCATTAGGAGGCCAGGGAATTGAATTTTCCAATTAGCTCTCCCTACCTGATCGTGTGGCTGATGGTGTATTATTATTTGTCTTTTATGCATAGGAAGGGAATCAGCTGTTTGGTAAATGGTTTCTGTGTACACTCAGTCCATTAACTGTGCAGAGATTAAAACTGGGAAATCTTCAAGACCTAGTTAATCAGTTGATTTGTTGGGCTAACTTGTCAGTTCACGGCCCCTGCTATTTTTTAAATTACATGTTTTCTAAATTAAAGAAATGCATTGGGGAAAGAGAAAAGGAAAAAGTAAGTCTCTTCCCATGCGTTGTGGGTTCAGTAATGTGATTTTGGAGTGAGGGAGTGCTTTGGTTAGGAGCTGTTTTAAGACAGTATTCCATTTCATAAGGTGAAGGAGTGAGTGTGGACTCTGCACTCTCCATTGTCGGAAGCTTGGCCATGCCATGCCGGTGTTTTTTGCCTTAAGAGATGCTAAGGATGCCTGCACTTGTTGGAGATGATTTTCCCTGGAGTTGACAGTGGGGTGCATGTCTGTGTTCTAGGCTGAGCATCTCGGGCTGTCGGGTGCAGATAGTGATGAGGACCCCTTGAAGTCAGCGTCTGGAGGGAACTTGAACGTGAGTACTTAATCCAGTGGGTGCTTCTGCTAGCCAGGTGGAACTTCCCACTGCAGGTAACAAAACTGAAGATTAGCTTCTGTTCACTCCTCTGCTTGGTTTCTGTAGTGGCTGCGTATGGTTGCTCGGACTTATTTGGACAGTGTTCAGTATTTTGGCTTCTGCTCTTCTGTATTCCACTAAGCACAGGCAGGAGAACCCTGCATTAGATTAGGCAAATGTACACTTTCTGAAGTTTTTCACATATGCTACCAGGAGCAGGCTGATAGTTTATAACCACTGGCCACCCAGAGCTAACATTTATTAACCTCTGTAACTATATTTTGTGCACAGAACCAAGAAAGGAATCTCTTCAAACTCCATTTTACCCACATTTCAATACTGGCATCTAGAAAGTTTCCTTCTCATTTTTTTAAATACCTGAAACAGTGTAATTCATTGCATCATATAAGGACGTATATGTTGAATATCTTTAATAAAAGTCTGACAATTACTTCTAAAATTTATCTAGACAGGGCATAGGAAAATGGCCCAGTGCCTGGCACCCACACATAAAGCCAGGTATGGCTGCTTCGTGTGCCTGTAACTCCAGATTGGAGGCTGGAAATGGGTGGATTCTGGGAGCTCACTGGCCAGCCAGTCTAGCTGAAATGGCAGTTTCCGGGGGCAGTGAGAGGCACTGTCTCAAAGGAGTAAGGCAATGAGTGACAAAGTAGGACAGCCGATGTACTCCTCTGGCTTCTGTTCGGCTCATTCATTATCCTCCACACACATGTGGACACACGTGTGGACATGCACACACATACATGCGTGCACACGTGCATCCATACAGGCACACATACATGCACACACAAATTACCAGGACCAACTTTCCGTATCAGTAACAATTTTATATTGTCACTCTTGGTCTCACCTCAGTTACCACGTCAAATTTTCTTCTAGCCAGTGTGTGTTTTATACTTTAAAGCATTTAATAACAATCTTGAAATAAAGTCTGGTGTAGAAATATCCATCTAAGATTTGTTTTATTTCTGTGGTTATATAGCTATAAATTAGAAAACATTTTTATATGTTAAGTTTTATAACAATTCTTCAAGATAATATAATGATATTACATTTGACATTGAATCGTTAAACATGAGAAATAAATTTTTCTTGCAAAGGCCTTTCTTTCTTTCTTTTTGTTTTTTCGAGACAGGGTTTCTCTGTGTACCCCTGGCTGTCCTGGAACTCACTCTGTAGACCAGGTTGGCCTTGAACTCACAAACATCCACCTGCCTCTACCTCCCAAGTGCTGGGATTAAAGTCGTGCACCACTATCAACCAGTGCAAAGACATTTCTTAATAAAATGAAAGATAAATCTTTCACCTATTCCACAGGTTCAGAAGAGACTCAGCACTAATTCAGTACATCTTTCCCCATTCACTGATTTAAACTGAGGAACGTTTTCTATGAATAGTCCGTAAGGGTGGAGCACTTCTGTCACATGGGCACCTTTTACTTCTTTGATGTCTTTCAAGAAGGCCCACACCAAAGCACAGAGACCTAGGGTCAGAATAAATAAATTGTCTTCCAGATCTGTTCACGGCCCAAACTCGGGAGCCTTCGGATGTGTAGTCACTCGGGAACCGCTGATTTCTGGGAAGTGTAAAGGTCTATCTCAGTCGTTATCCAGTGCTTGTCACACTCACACCAGTGGGTAGTTTCTAAACCTTATGTTGTGAGACTTGAAGTCTTTGTAATAGCCTTACTTTCTACTAATTTTTGCAAACAAATTCTTTTTTTTTTTGGTTTTTTTTTTTTTTTTTTTTTTTTTTTTTTTGGTTTTTCGAGACAGGGTTTCTCTGTGTAGCTTTGCGCCTTTCCTGGAACTCACTTGGTAGTCCAGGCTGGCCTCGAACTCACAGAGATCCGCCTGGCTCTGCCTCCTGAGTGCTGGGATTAAAGGCGTGCGCCACCACCGCCCAGCGGTTTTTTGGTTTTTTGAGACAGGGTTTCTCTGTGTAGCTTTATGCCTTTCCTGGAACTCACTTTGTAGCCCAGGCTGGCCTCTTAATGATTTGTATTTTCATGAAGTGCAAGTCTATTTTGGGGGGAGGGCAGGCAAGAATGTGGAATTTTATTTGAGATCAATCTTGGGCTTATTTTTTTGTCAAGGGCTGGGGTTAGTGAAAGTTAGCTCATTCAGACAGTGGGAGATGATGCCTGTTATCTAAGTTAATTGGTACAAGAAGCCCTTACTGTTGGCCTTAGAAAATGTCAAATTTCCCTTAGTTACAAAAGTCCAATTACGTTTTTAAATTCAAGGAAATAAATAAATATGTGCCCGAGGTAATTATGTCACGTCTGCCTTTAACCACAGCTGTGCTGGGATGTACTGATGCTCTGTATGCACTTGAAAACACAAGTTTAATGCTCAGAACTTAAGTGTTTCCTCCTTTCAATGGCCTCCTATGAATGCACCGTGGAAACCAGACTTCCGCCTTTATTGTAGCCACTTCTTTTTGGCAAGTAAGAATGTTTGCAGTTTTGAGGATTTAATGCAATCCCCGAAGCTCCGCTGAGCCCGCATGAACAGGGGCACACACTTGTCCATGCCTTTTCCCATACAAATCGCCCCAGCCTGAATAGAATTATGGAATGATTGTAAGGAACGCTCTTCTGTGATAATCTTCAGTAAGTTCCTATCTGAACTAATTGCACCAGCCAGGCATTGTGTTTGTTTTGCTATTAAACAGACTTAAATCAACAGAGGATGACTTTTGATGGCTATAAACTCCCTAGTCTTTTGGGCTTGTCTTTCATCAGCCTATTTTATCCAGGAGATGTTGAAAACAAAATGTCTTCTAATATTTCACACACTCAATAAACAAACTACTTATGTTTGAGTGGGGAACCCATTATAGCCAAGGGCTTGGCATCTCCTATGTTTGAGGCTATTATATAACCAAGTAGTAACTCTTTCTACATTAATGAATGCTAGCTTAATTTTTCAGTAAGCATCGCTAATTTGGGTGAGCCATTTTGGTGTGCTTAGGAACATAACATAGTCATGATACCCATGGCTGGCTGACTGGATGAGTAGATAGAAAGGTGGATGAGTGGATAAATGATGGATGGTGACACATAGATGTCAGAATCTGAGCAAAAACTTCATAGGAAATGTCTAAAACATTTTTTTTTTAATTTAAGATCCTACAAATATATCTGACAATAGAACTGTTTCTATGGAAACAGGGGCCATACTCTTGGACAGGTTGATTCAGTACCATTGTTGCAGTTAGGTTTTGTTTTAGAACCAATTAAGTTAATTATAAAGTTTAGTTGGAAAAATTAACAAACAAGAATAGCTAAGAAAACCTTTAAAAAAGCCTGAGAGATGGAAAGCTTTATATTTTTTCAAGTAAATTTTGAAGCTTTGAAGAAAACTATAGCAGTTTGGCAGCACTATGGTGGTATGGCAACACAATAGGAAAACTTGGAGCCAATTGCATAGGAAATATGGACTCCAGAACAGTCAGCACTCCACAGCAGAGGCCAGTGAACATTAATGAGTGAGGGTGGGAATGACCAGGAAGGAAAGTGAAAACTGAGCATGCTCTATAGCATACAGCACAACAAATCCAAAGATCAAAAATCTACATGTGTATATTGAAACCAGGCATGTGATCAGCAGAAAACATGTGTGAATAATTTCTAGCTGTGGCTCAAACTCAAGATGTGCTAATGAGAACTTTGATAAATTTGACTGTGGGGTGGGGGGGTGGGGTGGGAATGTTGAATGACAGGATGAAAAATAAAGGCATAGGAAAGCAATCCAGGAGAAAGAGGAGGGAGAGCGAGAGAAAATATGAATGTAAGAATAGCATAAAAACTATAAAACTCCAAATATCACATGGGAGAGGGCCTTCAGAAATATTGAAGGCAGATTTAAGTTGATGCATGGACAGTCTAGAAAGAAAACTGGTGTGTGTAGTATGTAAATTATTGAAAATAGTTGAAGCTTAGTCATGAGAAATACTAATTACACTTACAGGGAACTCTTATTACCCACCTATTAGATGGCAAAATTTCTGAAGTTTGCCCATCACTTCAGTTGGCTATTCTGTGGGGACTCTTAAATGTGTTACTGAGCACAATATAAAACAACATAGCATTTAAAGTGGGGAATTTGGTACTATCTAGCCAAACTGTTAAGTAGATTTATTATTCCTTGCATCAGAAATTCTACTTTTAGAAAGCTATTGATCGTAAAAGCTCCTTTATCAGAGTCTGTGGTGATGCAGGAGTCCATTTCTTACGACATCATTTGTAATAGCAAGAGCTAAACAACGCCCACAGGCTCCTGAGTGGGAGACTGAGCGGGTAAACAACCGTGATTCAGCATGATTCACTGCAGCATTGTGAAGGGAAGAAAATGATGTTTACCTACTGATGTGAGGTCTTCTCTGGGATATATATTTCCCCATTAGAAAAAAGAGGAATAATTATTTTTAATGTAAAACAAAGTCTGTAATGAAGCTTCGATATGCCAGGTCAACCATTGATTTTGAAAATAATTCAAGTCCTAGGACAGGATGACATGTAAGGAAATGGTGACTGTCCCTTCAGGTGACCTTAGCTGCTACCCCAGCCCTGCCTGGCATCAGTGGTTAGCTTAGTTATATGATCTCGGTCCATCTTCCTTTTACAGACACAGAAAAATCCAATTTCCAGAGGTGGATGATTGATCGAATCTGTTGCCCTTGTTGAATCCCTTTGTGGGTGTTTAATGAGATCTCTGCTTTGCCAGAGTGCAGAGATGACACAGCATTCCTTCAGAACGCCGTGCTGCCATTGCCTGTTACTTTGCTGTTGTCTTCTAGCCTGCAGGTACACCCTCAAACCGACAAGAAGGCAGGGTCAGATTGCATCAGCAGGCGGGGGCACAGGAGCCCTTCATATCTTTGAACATTCTCTGTTTTGAAGGATTGAAGGCAGCCATTCCTCCTTCTAGTTG